AGTGTATATAATCAATTATATATCATAATACATTAATATACATGTATATATAATATCTAATATACATATATTAACACATAATTATAATAATATATACAATCCAAATAGCATAACATATATGATCATATATAATCATCATATACAATCATCGTACATAATCTTGAATTTTCTTCTTTCTCTTAATATAGAATTCTTTAATACGATAATATATTCTTCAGTCCTTGAAATCGGGAATTGACGATAAGCAATTGCAATAAAGCGCACGGCAAGAATCAGCTTTACGGTAAGTAATCGATGGCGAAAAGGGGTGCGGTGGACCGACATGTAAAGAGCCGATGTTAACAGTAAACAGGGAGTGGATGTGCGGCGAGACGTGGGCGAATTATAGCAGTTTACCGACCCACACACGAACCGGCCAAGGGGCCATTACTCAATTCCGAGATAAGGAAGAGAGGAGGTCATCGGACTGCATTCGCCGCCCGATCCGACGTCGAACGTCGATGTGCATCGCGAAGTGCATAAACCTTGATTCCACCGACTTGACGAGAATCATATATGCGTATTCGCCTGTCTTTATGAATTCGCGCACACGCGGGGGCGGCGATGAAATCGGCAGGACGTATCGAGAAATTACGATGCATAAACGGTACTTGAGCAGATAGCATCGCGCCACCAGTGAAGAGGGAAAGATCGCGATTGCAAAATCGTTACTTTGTAGTTATCGAAGTGGCATTTAAGTATATACTAATACATATTAAGATCCCTCTTCTCAATGAAAGATGTAAAAACGTAGAAATTTTTTTTTTTTTTTCATGCAAAATTAAATAATATTATTATAAATATGAAATTTGTGTGTAATTAAAAATAATTTTTAAGTATATATAATAAAAAATTGTGTATTTTTTTCATTAATAGAAAAAATATTGCAAAATCGTTATTTCGTACTTACCGAAGCGGCATTTAAAACGCATATTTCCAATGAGGTCTCTCTGATCATTCAAAAATGTGGAAACTTTTTTTATATTTTTCACGCAAAATTAAATATTATAAAGAAAAATATAAAATATGTATATGCGTAATTAAAAAATAATTTTCAAATGTGATTAAAAATTATGCATTGTTTTATCTTTTTATCAGAATTAATATTATATTACAAAAGTTCATCAAGATCAACACGTACACGATTTATGTCACTGTTTAGGTCACATACAATCGATAAGAAACTATATTAACGTCCGAATGAGTGGTTGAAACGTAAATAGGATTTATGTCTTAATAGTTAACACTTTTGAATTTAATTCTTTGATTGCGCTTGAGTGATATTTACATTCGTTATGTTACATTTATGCTAGTCGTAATGTCGAGCGATCGTGACTTAAGTATTTTATATCGTTACTCCTGTCGGGGATATTAAATCGCCGTTCGCGTGATAAATCGCCAACGGGATATGTATAATCTTAAATACGTATCGGTCTCTCTGTTACCGTAAGTCAAATTCATTATAATATGTCATGCGCTATATCATGCGCGACTCTGTACTTTTCGACATGTAACAAGCGGAATTGCCAGTAATTTTCATTCGAATAAATGTGCATTTTGAACGACCAATGAATTTTTATTCAATCCATTTGATCCAAAAAACGAAAATAAACGTGCGAAAATTAATATCGTTATTCTTGCACGAATCTGTGAAGAAAAAAAGACATTCAATTATTACCATTAAATTTTCGAAATTACTTTTTTCTTTAATTTGAGAAAATGCAATAAAATGTTAGAGAGGAACATTTACGTCAAACTCTATTATAAATATAATTTATCGTAAAAAAATCGCAAATGTTAAAAGCGCTATAATTTTTGTCATGCGACAAATTTTATAGATAATTATAGATTATATTGATAATAAATATTAATTATCAGTGAAAGTTGCTTGAAATTCTCGAAGTTGATTCTGCTTGTATAACCTTTGTGCAATTATGTCTTTAATTATATGTTTAAATAATAAAAATTATTTTCATTACATTTCACTAATTAGTAAGTGTACGTGTATCACACATTTTATATAATATTCATTTTATTCTCTTTTATATATATCTATCAATTAATTTAATATTAATTATTCTAATATATAAATCTATGAATATATAGGACGTAATAAAAAAAGGTGACAAACGTGGCTAAATTAAAGACGTTTTTATTGATTTTTCCAAACAGTATGATTCGAGTTAGTGCGACAGAGCACTATAGGCGACGCTGATAGGTCGGCTTGGTTGATCAGTCTATTACGACGAAGCGGAGCCGAGTATCTGTGTATGTTTGTGTGTCAATGTGTACACGTGTGTGTTTACATGTAATGTATCATATCATTGCATTATCACAATACGTTATTAACGTCAATCGACGATGAGTGAAATAAATATGTAAAGGAGAAGCAGGAGGGTGAGAGAATCAAAAACGATCTCGACATGGGGAATGAAAAAAAAAACAAAGGTAGAAGAGGATATCGATATAAAAAATCATTTGAATCGCACGTTCATTAAATTCCCGCCATTTCGGCTGTTTTCGAGTCTCTCCCTCTGCCTTCGTCAGAGATCAGATCAGGCGAAAAGATTCACGATTTCTGAAGCGATCAGCTGATCGGGGAAAAACGACATCGGAGCGCCGGAAAATTACATAATTAAGTAAAACGGAAAAAATAAATGGTTGCGGGTTTATACAAGTGTTGTCGGCGATCCAGCGAGTTTGTTTTTCGGTAATATTGCACAATTATCCCTAAATATCTGAATTGTGAGTTCTTTTGATACACAAAGACTGTTTTCTTCCTTTGAATTATACATGTATATAAATCGTGTAATTTTTCTCTCACGCGCGAGAAAACGAAGGAAAGCTTCGACACATATTGAAAATATCCGCACTTTCCGAAAACGGCAGGATCCGTCGATGCAAACTATCTCACTGTCAAGCGTTTCACAATCCTATTAACTTGTCCACACATTTTCCATCTTCGTTCTTTTTTATATCTCTCCATATATTTTTCTCGTTTGTTCAATATTTGCAGTAGTTAGTTTCTCCAATATTTGTCACTCTTCGTCAAAGTTCTCTAGACATTCGGTAAATAAAAATGGCGAATATTTGGAACAACGACGTATAAAAAAAAGGAAAAAATTTCTTTCGCACACAACGTTGTAACTTTTGAGCGGTATAGCAGATGATGACGATTTTTAGCGAAGCATCTTCAGCGATAAGAATTATTTTTCAAAAAAAATTCAATTCGCAAAAGTGTCTCAACAAAATTCTTAGCATTAGATTGACCGATGGATTAACTTTTATCGCGAAAAATTGATTCGTAACAAATTAAATCAACAGACGTCGTTTCAATCGATACATCAATAAGACACTTGTAATCCTTTTACATCGCAGAATTTCTCGCGAAGAGATCGTATGATATAACAAATGCGCTGCAATCATTTTCCTTTTTTTTTTTTACAATAAATGTTTGTTTGCAACAACCGCTGACGTTCGTCGTCCGAAAGTGCATGGATGCGTTATAGAAGCTGCATATTTTTTTTTTTACAGTATTACAACGCGCAGAAGCGAGTCTTATTGTCGAGTTATCAAAGTGTTACCGTAAGCGAAGCCGTAGTCTCGAACGAAGGAAATATTGTAGCAGAAACGCTTGTAGCAAAAGCGAGAACTCGTGTGAAACGAATTGAAGTGCGGAAACTTATGCAATTGTAATATTTCCTTCCTCTAATCCTTTCATTTAAATCCACTACACGATTCGGAGCGCGATTTTGTGCTCATTAATACTTTTAATAGAATAAAAGAATAATTATACTCTGATACTATACAGGATGTCTCAGATTTACCGAACCATCCGTTAATGCAGACTCTTTAGAAACGATTTTCCTTAGTAAAAATGTCGAAGCACGAATAAATAATTTTCAAATTATAAATAACTGAAAATTAAATATTTTTTAAAACAAAATACTAATAAAACTATATATTTTTCAGTTAATTTCAAGTCAATCTAATTTAATAGAATTTTAATGTAATGTCTTTTCAATTACGAAGATACATGATAGCAAAAATTAAGAGCTTAAAAATGTATCTTTAAATAAGCATAGAAATTAACAAGTGATCTGATAAATCTAGGACACCTTGTATACAGAAGAAAAAAAAGATCGCTTTTGCGGACTGATCTTAAAACACAGGATCTTGCATCACTCGACTTATTTTTGACTTTAGCGCATTTTATTCGATGCATTCATATATCGCATTCATGTGCATCGTGTGTATAAAATACGATCGAAAAAATATACATGTATACGTCGATGCGGCATCGACAAATATTGCGTGCAATCGGATAAAATATCGAATAGATATTTGCAAATAGACTTTTTTTCCTCAGGCGCGACCAGTAAAGAATTTCCCGAAGAAAAATATCGACGACGAGATGTTATTAAAGCACACTCTTTCTCTCTCCTTTACGTGCGATTTTCTCGCGTGATTATGCGTCGCACGCATACTTCTGCCCCTTAACAAGGGAACCAAGGAAAATATTTATCTGTCGCCACTTGGCAATAAAACTTGCCGCAACGTGGGGGACACTCGCGCATGTTAGGAGAGAAATATCGCTAATATCATTCTTCGCCCTGTCGGGCAACACGCTAACTCGCTAACGTCACAACTTGGCACAAAACATACAGCCTAAACGAAATACGTCGTACAGTCGTCATTGGGAGAATTTTTACGGCCTGCCCTTCGCTGCGAAAACATATGTGTGCGTGTGTTTGTGTACTGAATACTAACAAGATTTCATCGGTTTCCTCCTAGTTTAATCCGCGCGCGCGCGCGCTTCTTTTTGGAGAGAAACGGCAGCTATAAATATTCACGAGTAATTCCGCGCGTTCACTTTGCAAAACTGGAACACCGACCCCCCGATTGCAGTTTACATTCATAATATGTGATATATATATTATATATATATTAAATTTTAATATATAATATATTATATAATTATGTTATACATATATTGTATATAAAGAGATGATATGGTATCATCCCAATTTTGTAGACCTCTTTGCCCCGTATTTCGCTTTATCATTCATTGCAATATATTTCTTTGTTGCTCCATTTTTTCTCCAAAACGAAACGCACACGTACATCGTAGAGATAAAAAAATATATCCATTGAATTAGATTCCCAGGCGTGCCTCGTCGTCGTTTTTCCACTTTCGCGCACTTCACGAAATCGTGACAACAAAAGGCGAACCGTCTTCGCGCGCGATTTCTTCTCTATACACATATAGACAACGGAGATAATAATCTAAATGGATCGCCTTATAGATTCTAGACTTACGGCTTCTAATAACGATAGGTGGTATTGATTGGCTGCGTGTATGTGTGTGTACATGTGCGTGTGTGACGGTGAAGATGATGAGTTACAATGCTGTGATGGCTCGCGTAGTAATGCGTGTTTTGTTCGTCTGGTTGACATGTATATTGTGGGAAAATGCGGAAAGGGAGAGGGGGACAAGGTGGTATAGTCTTCGTATATCGCATACAAAATGACGCAGAATTCGTCGCACGACTCGGTCTCCTCGATCAACGCTCCTTCTCCTTCTCTTTCGATCATCGAGCGCAGATTTACAGAAGAACGAGTCGACCTATCACGACACAGATCGCGATAGACTTTGCACGTGTGTGTGACTGATCGACTCGCTTCTATTCGATCTGTGTAAATCTGCGCGATGGCCTTTCGTTCTAATATAGATATATAGTATATCCTCGAGTCTACATGGATTGATCCTGCCGCACCTTCCACCCTCGCACAATCTCGAGAGCTTCGATCGATTATATTTACATTCTTTTTTTTAACGCTATGAAAATCTGTAAACATATACCACTCGCCCCCTAGGTAGAAGACGAGGATTATGTGAGACTGCTTATTCTCCTTAACCAAGCCACGAATAGTTCGGTTAGGAAGTCCGAGCCTAAAACCGCACTAAAATCACAGCGGGTGTCCTTCTCGAGCGTTTAGGTGGGAGATGCGGAGGATGCTGGTAACCCGTGCCTACTCCGCACAATTATATGCACATCCTCCGAAAAATTGACATTTAATTATTCATCGATGAGAGGAACGAAGGACTTTTAAAAAGCCTCCATCAACGTTGAGAAATGGCAAAGAATGCAAATTTCCATAAGTTACGCGTAATCGATGGCTTTACATTATTGAGAAAATAAAAAACAAGACGTAAACGTATATTAATTTCGTATCTAAAATTAAAAATCTTCAAATTCCAAATCTCCGTGTCAGCTTCGCTGAGAGAGAAGAATGCAAAACGACGCTAATTGCAATTAAATTCCGTGCTTCGCGGAGAAGTCCATCGATCCTAGACGAGAGACAGGTATATCCTTGTAACGGGAACGCGCGACAATATCTTTCCCATCCAGTCCGGCGGGACAGCGAGATAATCCCACTAGCAAAGTACACATTGATATTGGACAAATCAATAACGAGTTTACCCGATCCGCGTCTGCCGTTATTTAGCAGAAGGGGACAGCGAACGGTAAAACGCGGAGAGGCGCGAGAGGATGAGGCCAACGCGCGCAACAACGTTACGAAACAATGTTACGAACTTTCTCTCTCTCTCTCTTTCTCGCAGTCGCCCGGTTATCAAGTCAACCAGCTGAACCGTTGCGCGCCGAGTTATCCGATAAAACGCGGATGATAGCGCGCGATTAAACGCAGTTACTAAACGAGAGACGGTAGCTCTCCTTTCACGCGAGGCAAGCCCCTTGAGAAGGGAGGGAGACGAAAGAAGAAGAAGAAGAAGAGACTGAGGAAGATTCTCTCTCCGACAGTTCGACCTACTATCGACCGTGAAAGAGGGGCCGGGGTGGAAGGTGCAGACGTCGATTACGATCGGCGGCTCTGGACCGGACCGTTCCTCCGATTAATTGCTACGTTACGTTTTAAACGGTCACGTCGCCGCTACTCGTCTTCGACAACGATAGCGGCGAGAAAAAGCCGGGTGTATGTGTGCGCAACATCGCCAAGTGTGCCGGTGTACGATCAAGTGCATCCCGCGATTAACCCTCGCAATTAACCCTCTTGCCGACGCTTCTTCTAAGTGTCACGTGACCAGCTGGGCGGTCTTCTTTCTAGCTCTGTGTATCCCATGAATGAGCGTACGGGGCGCGATTAAATAAAACCTTTTCGAGGTGATGCATGCTACGAATAAATCTCGGTCGAGACGATTTAACGTGATTAAGGGGAGTGTTGCGCGTCCGCGCGCGTAGAATGCAAACAAATCGTCGCTTTTTCTTCCTCCTTTGTAATTAATGAACATCGGAGAAGATAGTCGGCTGCTTAATTACGCGTAAAAACGCGGCGATGGCGTTTGAAATTCTACGCGCATCTAATTATGCGTGTTTTACTGCCGAGACACGATGAAATGATAAGAAGAATCGGAGACGTCGGAGACTTGGGAAAGAATAAAATGGAATAAATTTATATGCAGCGAGATAAAATCATCGAAGGGGAAGTCGATCGGAAAACAGATATGGAAGAATAGAAAAAAAAAGAGAGATGAGTGGTCCCACGTCTACTGAAGGCATTTCGATATTCTGATTGGTGTTACATAAAATATCAGAGACGTTTATATATATATATATATATATTTTTTATTTCTCTTCGCGTTTTTTTTTCATCGTTTCCCGGCATTTTTTTTACGCATGATTTCTCGTCGCAAGTCGTAGTACAACCATCGTTGTTCGAAAACGAGTTACGAAAAAAAACTTAAATAAAGAGAAAGTTGCCTACTCGTCTACAGAATCGGTACGTAATTAAAATACCGCCGTAAGCCGGAATTACCTAAACACTTTTTATAGCTCGATCATTTATAAAATGACAGAATTCATTAATCAACGCCGTTTAATCGATCGACGCAAGTATGAAGCAATAGTATACGTCGATTAAATGACCACAAACAATCGTGCGAAATGAAATAATTTTGCAAAACATACGCAAACGACGTTATTCCCCGAACAAACTGACAGTTTTTTTCCACGAAGCTAACTCAATTAAATCAATCACCTCCAGATCTCCGAGCGAAATCTTCTATAAGTATAAGCAGCGTCATAAGGTGCTTACCATTTAACAATACAAGTGTCATTCTATTTTTGTTCTACATTCTATAAGAATAAAATAGAATGATGCTTGTGTCGACTTGCGTTGTTAAATGGAAAATACCAATAAAAAGTATGTTGCTTCTACAACAATCGTTGTACTACAAAACCCACTACGAGAAAAATTCACCGCACTTACGATACGTGACAAATGCATGAGATGCGGCCACACGCACAAAAACACATTCCCTGATCTTTCCGGGACTTAAAACACGCTTGCGACGGGACTACGAGGTTCGATTTCTCGTTGCTGATCGGAGTCAATTCACTACGACACCTAGAAGAAGCGCCTAGAAGAGATGATCCATTCTTCGAAATCTATCGCGTCGCGTGCAACACGCGCGTGTACTACAAACACCGTTAGCAGAGAAAGCCCTTCCATCGTCTTCTTCCTCTTCTTCTTCTTCTTCGTTGTCGTCGTCGTCGTCGTCGTCTTATCGAGGTTTCGCGGCTTCGCGCTTCGTAAAATGACACTTGGCCCCCGGGAGACCCTCGACCGCACATAAAAGCGAGACACCGCGAGAGAGATTCCGAGGCCGAGTGTGTTCGATCGAGCTCTGTGTTTACGCGCGAAACGGACGAAGATAAACGTCGTCGTATTTTTATTTTTTTACCGATGTGCGCCAAACATTTTGTCTTCAACATCCACGTACACTCCATTTCTCTCCGTATTTTTATTTTTATTTTCGTTATTATTATTATTATTATTATTATTATTATTATTATTATTGTTGTCGCTGTTGTCATTTTGCTGTCACTTCGCACTCCACCAAGCAATTTTTTACGCGAACGCACGGACACTTCAAGTAGCAAGAGAAGTAAATGACAAGTCGTTGAAATCCCTAAAGGGGTTCATCTCACTCTTCCGCTTGTAATAGAGTGCGAAAGTCCTGTTGCAGCTTCGACTCGTGGTAACTCCAAATGTCACTAAAGTCGTCGTCCCTGTTGTTCTCGTCGTCGTCGACCTCCTCGATAACGAGGCTGGAGGACTTGTCGGACTCCTCGGCAGGCGACGGTGACGAGTAGAATTTGATCTCCAGGTCGCGATGGCCGTTGGGCGACGTGATAATTTCCGTGGAAACCTCGAGGCCTTTGGGAGACCCAACGAGTCCGCCGGGATTTGGATTCCCGTTGATGCCCCCCGTCGGCGAACTCGTTGGGGCACCGCCGATGCTGTCACCGCGCCAAAGGGTCCGTTTGTGTCTTCCGCCCTCGGATCCTTGACCCCCTCGATCGCCAATAACGCCGACGTCTCTCGTCGGTGCGACGATTTCCTCTCCGTAGCTAAAGTAACTCGTCGGATCGCTCCAACTACGCCTCAAAACTACCCCACCGGGTCCGGAGACGGGCCCCGCGTCCCTATCGTCCACCTCCTGTCGAGGATGCTCGTCGAAGAGTCTGTCGAGCGCGCGTTCCTGAAGATTCGAACCCGGTGGCACGAGAAACAGCGGGATCTGACCGAAATGACCTCCGCGAGGACAATAATCGACAGCTGATGAAGAGGACGAGGATGGTGGTGGTGCCGGAAGCGACGGCGGCCCCGTCAAAAACGGCGAGTAACCGTTCCGGTCGACGTCCCAGATAAGACCGGCCGGATCGCAATATCGGCACTGACAGGTACCCAAACTATCGTCCCTGAGGGCAGCCTCGCAGGACTCGCTCGCGTATTCGCGACCGTAACGTCGCGGCGGATTGCTGTTGCAGTTGCCGTTACCGTTGGCGTGATGATGGTGATGATGATGATGATGATGATGATGAGGATGATGATGATGCCGGTAGCCCTTGGGCGGCTCGGCTGCGGCGCGCATCGGCGCCGAGACCACGTTCCGGTTGTCATCGAGCACTTTCACTTGCACATAGTGCCGATGATACCGCTGCTGTCTGCCGTCCGTCATCTCCGTCGTCGGCATCGTCGGCGCTCTGCAACCGCCGTAAACGGTCTCCCGATGATGGCCAGCCGGTGGCCTCCTGGAATAATTCCTGAGCGCGGTTGCGTCGTAAATTCTAGGTTCGTAGCAGGTGGGCGCGTACGATTTCACGACGCCCATCTGGTCCCCGGATATCCCGGTACCTCCCGAGGATTGTTGCCGCTGCAACGTCGTCGTCGTCGCGGTCATCGTTGTCGTCGTCGTCGTCGTCACTAGCTGCTGCTCCTCCAATTTCGTCCCGTCGACGACGCCGTTGGCGACGACGTTATTCGGCGGCTTGCGGTCCTTCTTCCGGCGTTTCCGCGGCTTGATTATGCGCGGCAAACTATTCTCCGAGTTGTTGGATCCGGAACTTTCATCGCTCGCGATACTCAGCGAGTCGATGTTCGCGATACTCGAGGAACCGGCGTTCTCCTTTCCCGCGGTAGAGGAACAGTCCGAGTTGGGATTCGCTTTAGGATTCGCGGGAATCGTTGGTGGTTGCTTCTTCATAGCGTTCTCTGTCGACTGTCTATGAGCAATGAGTCTCGACGTCAGATTCTTCGTCGCACCGTTCACGTTACTCGTCATGGACGGGTTCGCGCTATTATGAACGTACGTGCCGACGAGTGGCATATTAACGGCACCATTGGAACTGCCGCTGTTACTGTTGTTGGCGTGTACCTTGTTGCCGCGATTGTAAATTCGCCCGGTTAAAATCAGAGGTGCGCCCTGGGTGTGAATAGCCAGCCTGGACAAGGGACTCTTGTGACCGCCAGGCGATATCTGCTGCTGATCGGCGCAGCAGGTTATCTGTTGCTGCTGCTGCTGCTGTTGGCCGAGCGACGGCGACGATCGCTGATTACATCTGCGCGGACTTGACGTCATTGATATCAAAGGCGCGCCCGTCCAGCCTCCTGGACCGGCGTATTGCACTTGACACTGCTGCTGCTGCTGCTGATCGGCCAGTCCGGGATAACCCTGTCCTGCATTACTGTAACAACCACGGACCTTGCCGCCGCGTACCGTCGCTGACTGTTGTTCCTGCTTCCGACAGACGGCCGAGGACTTGCCGCTGTGAATTCCGGCGCGCACGGACGAGATGAGGCAACTGCCAAGGTATCGCTCCACCTCCAGGGCGCCCTGGAAGGCCGGGCTCATCTTACAATGGTCCTGAACCCACCAGTGCCTATCAGTCGTACTATAATCGCGATATAGTAGATCTTGGACGATACACGTCGAAATTAGAATTCGAGATTCTATCGCACTGATCACTCGACGAAGACTCCAACTTCTTATTCTCTTCTACTTATTCCACACATGACTCCGTCGATTTTACATCTGCCGCTTTCACGATCTAGCCCATATTGTAACGTCAACGCCGAGAGCGATCGAGTGTTTCTAAGCTCGCAGATCGAGACGTCTCGCGGGATGAAAGTAGACCAAGGGAAGGCAAGTCTGAATAGGCGAGGAACGGATGATCGATCTCTCGCCCTGAACGCGACCGTACGAGACCGCGGCCAGAACGACACTGACTGAAGCTGGTACTGGCCGGAGCCGACGTAGACCGTCCTCGGCGCTCTGCGACGTGGAGGTCTCCCCACTCCTGGCACGCGCTACCCCCGCTACGAGCGCACTGAACCCCCACTCTCAGGACGGAACTTACTCCCACCACCCCATTATCCGATCCCCCCACTCCTTCGCCACCTTTCGATACGAGCGCAACGAGTGTATGTATATCGCGCGGCATCGTATCCTTCCGGCGCGGCGGACGACAACGACGACGCTGCTGTCACAATTCGGCGGGAGAAAGTTACGAGGAGCGCGGGGGAGGTGAGAGGCAAGACGTGTCGGAGAGCATCGCAGTTGCCGACGCTGACTGACAGAGACGAATTTACCTGCCTGCCTGCTTATCCGGGTTTCTTATATCTTGACTTAGCATAAATTTCATAAACAAATCCCGAACATGTTTTCCCCATTTTCCTCTCTTCTCTCTCGTGCTTACTGCAGCGCGAAGTATGAACGAGTCTAAAGACGGCGGTGGATTAGGAAAAAGGGGAAAAAGGATTTTATAACTTTCTGATTTTATCCTCTTCCCTTTTTAGAGAGAGAGAGCGAGGATGAAGTTTTTTAATAAAATTACCGCGAAAGAAATTAACAAAGCTTAAAACACGATTCAAGAGTATAATTGTGAGGAGTAATTGGTTCTCTTTGTACAAATTACACATATTGAGTGGAGAATTTAAATGTAAAAAAGAAGACGAAAAAAAGTATTACCTAGCCTCGTAGAAATATCAAAGGAACGAGCAATTATATATACATAAATATATATATAATTTTAATTTCAAGGAGAGTTCCAGATAGTTATATAAATTCCTCGCTATCAGTGCTATTTATATATATATATATATATATATGTATGACTTTGGATTTGCATCGGATAATATTGATAAAGTATCACACGTTCCATCGATATCACCTTGACTTATACGATGAATCATAAAAGAAAAATGGAGTAACTCTATTCGATCATATCGATGATTCATCGAACGATAAGTCGCTCGTTTAAAATGCATACTTCGCTTAAAATACTTGCGATAATCTCTTCGCGTGTGTAGAACGAAAAAAAAAACGCTTTTTATTTTTTACGCTCGTTTTAATCCAATATTGTTCAAATTAAATTAAGGACGTGACATAGCTTTGATTCTGCAAAAATATATTTTATGTACCATTAAATGATTAATTAAATACTCTATAACCATTTTATATATTTTTAATAAAGATAATCGAAATAAAAGCATCTTTGAACAAATTGTTTGAAAGTAATTTAATTTTACAAGTCGAAATATTCACACACACATTCTAAGATGAAATAAATAAGAGACGCATATTTGTTTAAAGACTTTCGGAATCTGACATATGTCATCTGCAAAATAATCAGTTCTCGAGAATCTCGTAATTTAATTTCAAAGTCGCTCGCGATTCGCGAAACAAGACCGATTATATATACACTATTCGAGATGTCCCGAAAAAAGTAAGTTTCATAAGAAAATATTTCAGACAAAAATTGCAAGGATTTTAAAAACATCTATTTAATAGCCTTATCATTTCAACCTTAGGTCACGTTGCCTTTAAAAAAGAAACCTGACATATATCATCAGTTCTCGAGAATCTCGTAATTTAATTTCAAAGTCGCTCGCGATTCGCGAAACAAGACCGATTATATATACATTATTCGAGATGTCCCGAAAAAAGTAAGTTTCATAAGAAAATATTTCAAATAAAAATTGCAAGGATTTTAAAAACATCTCATTTAATAGCCTGTTATCATTTCAACCTTAGGTCACGTTGCTTTTTTAAAGGCAACGTGACCTAAGGAACCACCTTATTCTTTTACATAAATCGATTTCTCGCAATACTTGACACAAAACGTTAAAAGAGTAAAATGACTAAAACGTGAATAATTTACGAGATATTTTATGGTTTAATTTAATCTTGTATAAACTATAAAATATCTCGTGAAAAATCCGATCTTATCTCAATACCTTTATACACAAGATAATGAGAGGAATCAATCGGTGTAAAGAAAATATAAATAAAACCAATAAATAGACTTATCCGTCTAAACCTTACAATTTTCTTCTGATACAATATTTTTTTTTAATTACATTGTTCGAGATATCCCGTAACCTTCGAACACCCTGTATTCTCGCTCTGTCAGAGCAACTAACCGGAGCCGATTATTGTCAGCCGCCAGGCAAGTCAAGAGCAAGAAGAGAGAGAGAGAGAGTGCAACGCAGAAGAGGAGCAGCAACACTGGCAAAGAGGTACAGAGAAAAGTGGAGAGAAGAGACCGATATCTTACATCAGGAGCACCCTCGCATCTGGGTCGCTGGCACGAAAAGTAGGTCGCAAGTCATCAATCGCCCGCGGCACGCCATTCGGTTGAATCTCCTTCCCTCTACCTTCATCTCCCCACTCGCTCTGTCATCTCCGAAACGTCTGCTGAATGCCGGAGAATCTAGCGAGTGAGGCAAAGGGACATACACGGTTCTTTTTTTTTTTTTTTTTTTTTTCCAGCTCCTAACTCATCGTTAGAAGCGTCGAGGAAAGTTTTGACAGCGCATTTCCCGCGTTATTACGCGTATTATTATTATTAAAAGAAGCGCCTTCCCCTATTAACGCATCGGGCGGAAGTTCGGAACGACTCGTCTGTTATTACACACTCTCGTCGAGCGAGAGAAGTTCGGGGGAAACCGTCTTTCTCTATTATTATAGATATATCAGCGATGAGCGTGTTTGAAAGCCCAGTCCGTCTCTCTCTCTATTATTACGCTCGAGTCAAAGAAAAATTTGTAAGCGCCTCTTTCTTCTCTCCCGAAACAAATAGCGCGCTTATTAAGCAGGTTTTCAGAAAAAAAAAAGAAAATTCGCCCCGTGCTCTATTATTACATACACATTTTTCTTTCGAGAGAATCGGAACAAAGTACGCCGCGCGAAAAATTCCGAAAATTCCACTCTTTGAATAAAGACATTTTTCCGACAACTGTAAAGTGGATTAAATATTTATTCAAACGCTTTTTATGGAAATCACATTGAAATATATAAATTAATATATTATTTAATTTTTATATAAATAAGGGGATTGATTGTTCTGTTTCGACAAAATTGATCATTTTTTTTTGCACCCTTTTCTATTTATTGGTTTAATAGAATAATAAATGCTTTCCCGCGAAAAAAAATAAAATGCTCTTTATGTTAAAAAATTTTAAATTGAGATTTTTTTATTTCAATCAATAAAAAAAAACTCAATTATTAAAATTTATTATTGAAAACTATTTAATTAAATTATTATTATAAATATTGAAGTAAATTAAAATTTTTCGCGGTTTTGATCGAGATGAAAAATGATGTTTGCGCAACATTCAATTATTCCCTGATGTCTGGGTGCGTATACACGGGAGAAAAATAACGATTTTTATCGCCTCGCGATATATAAAGCGCACCTGTCTAAACGAAGTGAAGCAGCAACCCGAGACAGAAATTTCCCCAGCACGATTAGGGTCGCGGTGTAAGATAGATCGTGTTCCCTCGATCATTCGAGATGTGGGGAGTCTCGCGAGTTATCGGCGCGTCCCGATCGGGGATGCGCCATTAGCGATTGTTACAAACTGATTTTGATGTCCCGTCGCGCGATCGGTCACTCGATAAAGTGGTCGTGTCTACGATTAGCGCCGTCGTAAATTGGCGTTATTGCGAAACACGTCGAATCGCATCGAAACCTTCCGCGAAACGCGCCGAAGATTCCGAAAGAAAAAAGACTGCCCATAATTTTTGACCGAAACAACAACGCGAAAAAAATTTCTGGTTCCAGGAAAAATAAGGTGGAAAAAAAACAGAAATTAAAAACGATTTGCAAATTTACTGAATGCTATTAGGTTTATTGCTGACGACTGGTTTCACAACTGGTTGTAAAAAGAGGACATAAATCAAAGATGTAACATATGCAGAAAAAGAAGTATATTTTAAGAATACACTCGCAGCTGCATATTTAACGCTTTTTTATCTCGAATGTTACTTAATTTTTTTCAGATCTCAGAGAACTGTTAAAATATGCGTATGAATAAATAATTCTTATTTTTTATACTGAGAACTGGAGTTTTTCGAAGTTTGAAATTTTTATACAGAGGAAAATAGATTATCGCGACGATTTTTGATTGAATTAAAAGAGGAGCGCCGAATAATGAAAGTGAGCAGCGCGACTTTCCATTATAGACATAGAGATGTTCGGGGATATAAGGGAGAAACTCTTGTCGAGGGCTTGTTTTACCAAAGGTAAACGAACTGCTACATCGGGGAAATAATGAAAAATAGACGAAGCGCGACGTGAAAGTGCGTTATAAGCGCACTCCAGAAAATCTCGGCCGATAAGTACGCTTGAATAAGCGATTCTCAAGTGAAAGCGACTATACAACAATGATTTATACGCGCGATGAAAACATAAGAAAAAGATCAAGACAAATAGTCAACTAAAATGGCACAAATAAGAAATTGTTTTAACAACGTATATACATATATATGTACATATATTCTTAGTTAATATAAAATAAATTTCCTTATACATTTTTATTTTTATCTTGGAAGTTGCTTTTATTTATTAACGATTAAATTACATTTTATAAAATGTGTATTATAAATATTTATTTATAAATATTGCTACAATTCGCAATATTAAAGCGTATTTAATTTTGGAAACTGATTTATGTAATGAATTGTTTTAATTGTTTTTTTACAAAATATAAATAAAATAAATTAATAAATAAATAAAATTTATAAATTGTAATATAACTAATAATATTTTAATCTAATAATTGCTACAATTCGCAATGTTAAAGTGTATTTAATTTTGGAGACAGATTTATGTAATGAATTTTTTTAATGGTTGTTTACAGAATATAAATAAAATAAAATAATAAATAAAATGTATATATTGTGATAATAACTAATAATATTTTAATTTAATAATTTTTATAATAACTAATTTTAACAATAAAAATGTGCGTGTTTATAAAATATTAAAAAAAAAAACAG